GAATTGAAGGACTTTGATGACTTTTACAGTTTATTCAAAACATGTGCTTGGTTGCTGTTTGAACTTCTTGATCTTCACCCATTTTCTGACGGAAATGGCAGACTTTGTCGAATCCTTTGCAGCTATTCACTGTCCAAATTAAATCCATTTCCCACGCCAATTTACAATGTCTGGACAGACTCCTGTAAACATGATTACATTGAAGCCTTAGTCGAAGCCAGAAGGTCACCTTGCAGGCATCCTTGCGCCCTGACAACAATGATGATAGAATGCAGTTATTATGGGTGGGAGAGCTTTTTCAAAGTTTTGGATGAAGAAGCAAAGAGCAGAACTTGTGTTAAGGATGCCTCCTTAATCCAAACCATGGCTGAGGAATGTTTGTTATCTCCACCCACACAAAAGTTTGAGAGTGCTTACAAACATTCACATACTTTGCAGTATATACCTTGCTCCGTACAGTTTTGTGTATGTTAGTTATGTTTGTGACAGTTTCAGAGTTAGCGAAAATCAATAATTAGTCAACTACTGTGCTAATGATAAAGGGAAGTAAAATTCAGGCCTGGCCCCAGTTGTTCAAAGGCTGGATAACGTTCTCCATGGGATAAATTGCTATCCAGTGGATAAATGTTAACAAAACAAACCAGATTATTTGCTGGATAGTGATTTACACATATTCAGTGGATGGTGTTATCCACTTTTCAAACAGCCGGGGAGTTATGGAGGACTTCACCAAAAACTCTCCTTGGAAGCCAGTTTTATGCTCCCTCAAGAGACCTTAAAGTGCTGTGATTAAACAGTTTTGTTAGATATCAAGCACCATTGGATAAGTGAAAATCTTAATTACTCTAAAGATCAGAATCTTTCTTTTTCCCATTCCGTTTTTTCATTTGGTACTCATTTGTTAGGTTATGGAGGACTTTCACCAAAAACTCTCCCTGGAAACCAGTTTTAAACTTCCCCAAGGAGGTCTTTAAGTGCTGTGATTGAGCGGTTTTGTTAGAGATCAATGGGGACTATTATTGGATAAGTGAAAATCTTAATTTCTCCAAAGATCAGAATCTCTCTTTTCTTTTTGCAAAGTGAAACACATCATTACTTACATTACTTACTGTCAATATGAGTTACTTACACCACTGGCATTTCAATACTCTACTTACATAACAATAGTCCATGATATTTTTTGGAAGGAAACCAGCATGTAATTAATGGATATCTCAGTCCATTGAATTATTTCATTGTAGCATAGTAAGACCTAAGCTACAAGGTACCCCTATCTCCAAAAAGAAAAAATACGTCAAGATTCTTACTGGCTGTTTCAGTTTATAGCTTCCTTCTGTTCACTTTCAGTTTGAAAACCCTGAGAGCCTGGAACATTTGACAAGCTGTAGTTGACTTACGTTGGCATAAGCATAACTGAGAAGAGCTACAATTCTCAATGCTGATAATCCTCATTATCATATGATGATTAAAAAGTAGCTTGCAAAACACCCAATTTAAGACCAGCGTGCACAAACCATACCCTCATACCCAGAGGGTGATTGATGTCATGTTTTGTGAGTTACAAGGAAAAGATACCTAGCAGAAGGTTTTTTTTAAGATCAGTTTTGAACAACAGATATGCTGTAATGTGAGGAATTGCATTTTAAATTTTTCATACAAATGTCTCTAAATTTTTCTGCAAATAATGCAACTTGGTAGCTGTTTCCTTCAAATTTGATCAGGTAGCTAAATTGATCGAAGAGGTGCAGTAGCCTCATGGTTAGTGCGCTCGACTCCATATCACGCAGTCTGTATTCGAGCCCTGCCCGGAGGCATTGTGTTGTATTCTTGGGCAAGGCACTTTACCCTTGCAGTGCCTCTCTCCACCCAGGTGTATAAATGGGTACCGGCGAATTTAATGCTGGGGGTAACGGTAAACCCTGCAATGGACTAGCATCCCGTGCAGGAGGGAGTAGAAATACTCCCAGTTGCTTCATGCTACTGAAACTGGGATAAGCTCCGACCTGGTGGGCCACTTGGCTTGTATGCAGACTTTACCTTAAGGGGGAGGGGAGGGGGGGTGGGTTACTCTACAAAGTCTTACATGGAGAGGCTCTGCACCAAGATCCAACCCCTTTTCCTTTTGTATACTATTTTTGAATCAGGTACCCCTTTCATATGCTTTCATAACTGGCCCTGAATAAATCGCCAAGGGGAAATCTCATCATGTTCCCTTGAAATAGTACAGCCATAAGGTGTATCTTCAAAATGCTTTAATTAAAGTTCCTTTTAAATAACTAAATGACAGATAAGATTGTGCTACCCTTTCATATACCTCAACTTGTAAAATCCTTACACTTTTATATACCTGAAGCCTGAAAAAGGTAGCCCTTTCAGGCAGATCCAAGCCTCCCTAATAGGCCATTGGGTGATTCCAGAAAATATCCATACCATTATACCACGGGTGGCATCTTGGAATTCTGAGGTACAGGGGGTCTCTTGGACTGGAATTCTGAAGGCATTGGGGGGTAACGCAGTTTGTAAATCCAAATGCACTGTATCGGATCTGAAAAGACCTACGGTCCGAAAATACATAAGTGAGAAACCAGAAATTGCAATGGACCACATACGATAAACAATTTGTATGGAATAAGAAAGCTAAAATTAAATACAGAACAATGATAGGGCCGAAAGAGCAGGGAGGGCTAGACATGCCGGATTTTCAAATAATCA